GATAATGAAAAAAGGGAACTTAACTTTTTAATGTAATTAAAACTCATTAAAGCAAATATTAGAATTTTCTAGCATTTCTACAGTGTTCTTTCATACTAGTTATACATCAGAAAATGATCTTTTATAAGAAATTACAATATTTTCATAATTGGAATCTATTATTAAAAAGATATTTCTCAAGAATGAAAACCTCAAATACATGTATGTATATACTTATATGCATACCTGTATAGATCTATATGTAAATTCTTAGAAGTTTCATGATTTTCATTTAGTTTTATGGGCTATAAACATGAAATTCCCAACTACTCAATAGAAAAACAAATCTTATTAAAAATAGTCTCAAAAAAGAAACAGAAATGGCTTACATGAGTCAAAGAAATAGCAAATGAAAAACCACAATGATGTGTCACTTTATACCTGTTAACTGGCCACTAAAAAACAATTGCAAGTGTTGATGAGAATCTGGAGAAAGGGAAAAGAATACTTGTATATCTTTGACTACTGTGAATGAATACAGTATTTTGGGAAACAGAATGAAAGTTCATTGACAAATGAAATGCGACCATGTGACCCAGACTTTCCACTACCTGGTGTCCACTTACAGGATTGAAATCAGTATTCTGAGCTGTGCTCTTGTGTTCACTGCAGTATTATTTGCAATACATAAGACTTAGAAACAACCTGTCTAAGAGATGAATGGATTGAATAAGTGGTGTACAAACACAATGATATATTATTGTTCTTTTTTTTTTTAAAAAAAAAAATCAAGAAATGTTATTTGTTAAAACTTAAAGGATGATAGGTGAAATAAACCAGCCCCAGAGACAAATACCACATGGTCTCATGTCTGGCAATCTATAAAAGTCAAAATGTTACCAGAGCCAGGTTAGTTGTAGAGGGGAGGATAGACAAAGGGGTAAAGACAAAGGATGGTCAATAGTACTAAATTAGAAATGGGTTCTGATTTTTTTTGCACAGCTGGTTGACTAGTTACTGTATATTTCAAAACAAAGGATTTGAAATGTTCCCACAAACGGTAAATATTCGAGGCAATGAACACACTAATCACTCTAGATTAATCATCCCACCGTGTACCCATGTATTAAAATATTTTACCCCATAAAAATAAAGTTTATCATTTATAGTAAAACTAAAAAAAACCTAAAAGAAATAATGTGATTGAATTTCACTGGGAATAATATTTATTTTACCTATTTATAATTAAAATTTTTTTGTTGTAGTTTGAAAACATGTATTAGTTGCATTTTTGTTATAAGACAGGTTGCATAGCTACGTGACTTCTTAACAGTGAGAATGTAGGCTAGTCACGGGGTAAAAAAAGTCATACCTCAGCATCTGGCTGTTTTCAGTAAGGTTCTTTGTTGCAAAGATTGTATGGTATTTTTTTCCCCCCCTGGGGGTGATATTTTGTCATATATATTTATGGTCTGTAACTGTATTTATATGTATGTACATGTAAAAGTTGATTACTGTAGTGAGTTATTAAAATTGATCACAGTTCTTTTGTGTGTTTTTCATCCCATAAGCCACTAAGTGTTCATTAGCAAGCCAAAATGTTGTAACTAACATCATCAGCTGGCATCTTTTGAAGGATCTCCAGTCCACTGCTATGCTAGGAGTAGAAAATGCAAGGGCACTTGGTCTGTTTTCTGTTGTCAAGGGACTTACACTTTTAATTGGGGAGAGAAGTAATAAAAAATAGGAAATTAATGCCAGGCATAGGTCTTGAGTGAAGAGTGATTTAAAGTAGCCTAGAGATTCATGATCTGATTAGTAAAGGTATTTAGTCACATCCTTGCCTGCCCTTTGGGAGGGCCAGAGCTGCTGTGCAGTTGCTATTTAGTGATCTCGGGCTTCTTTCTTCCTCTGCCCTCAGCACTGGAGCTGCGAGGATTGCTTCACTGAAGCTGGTCATGTGCAGAAGTAGGTGGACTCCCTGGCCTTCCTGTTTTAGGAGTGTGAGAATGAAGCAACCGGGTTCCAGCTTAGATAGAGGAGCCACATCTTTATTCCACCCTTGACTTCAAAAGGAGTTGGCTGACCTTGCAGAATGTAGATGAAGTGGAAGTTGGGAGAAAGGGTTAGAGTGGAGGACACTGGATCAAGCCTGTGCCTCCTAGAGGGGAAGCACTTCTGCTGGGGAAGGAGGTCAGCTTCAGAATTTGCAAGAGCGACTCCTCTCCTGCTACAGCAGACTTGGTTTGCCAAAGTTACCCTGTAAGCTCGCTCTTTCTTTCTTTCTTTCTTTCTTTCTTTCTTTCTTTCTTTCTTTCTTTCTTTCTTTCTTTCTTTCTTTCTTCTTTTTTTTTTTTATAACAAAGGCTTAGGTCCAGATTTCATAAATCTGAAGATATGAGGAAAGCATTTCTGAGAACAGTATTTTAATATTAAAAATGTCTTGAGATTTCCAGATAGTATCTGTTGACCAACAAAAGCTAGCTTAAACTTGCATTCATGTTTCTAAACTATATTTGAAAAATTACAGTGAATTGTCTCCATGAGTGAAGTAAGAAGGCCATCAGTCAGAAGGCTTTATATAAGCTCTGTGATTTGGGCTTTAGAAAACTGTGATTTCAAACATAGGACCCCCCTCCTGAGCCTCCACATCACTGGGCAGGAACAGCATAAATGGTGAAAATCTGTGAAACTGTTTAAGCCTTTTTTGCTAAATAGATGGATCTTGAGACCATCCAATTTTTTATTTTATGAGAAAAAGATAAAATTTCATAAGATAATAGAATAGCAGTAGTTAATACACTGCATATTAATGTCTTTCAAATAGTTACAGTACAAGATAGGGGCATATAACATTCTCCAATGATTATTAGTGCAAGTGCTTTTTTGGTATCAACTAAGAGACAAATGGTATAACTAAATTACATTTTTTCCTATTTTCCCTTTCCTCCATTCTAGTTCCATTTTCCTTTTTAATAATTTTTCCCATTTCACAGTGTCTGTTGTGCATTTGCAACCTTATTTACTCTTTAATTTTTCACATCAGGGATATAATATAATGGTTACACATATATGATTTATTTCACTAATGAATATGGTCTCAAATTGCATCCAGTGTAAGCCTCTTTTAGGGAGGAAGGTCCATGAGGATGGTATCAGCCTAGAGTGCTGATGGAATGAGGAGACATAGTACCCTCTTCTGGACTCCTGCAGCTGGACTTTCAGGGCAAAACCAAGTGTGCCTATGGCCACACTTTTGTGGCCATGGGTGAGATGCCCTCTGTGAGCCAGTTACCCTAAAATTAAGAGGCTTTGGTCATCCTGAAGGTCTGTGGCCTTCAGAAAATATGATGGCAACGGAATCCGAAGGCCTCTCCTCAGTACTTCTAGCTATTGAAGAGCGCATTTCAGACAGCATGAGAAAGAGCTGGAGGACATGCAGAAAGAGGCAAGGGGGTAGTGTTGAGAAAAAAAAAATCCATTTTCTAACATCTTTTCCCTATGTTCATTAACAGTGATTCTAAGACTTAGGAAAGATCGGACTGGAGTTGCTTGTGCTTGTGAATGTTTTCTGGGATATGACAATTTCCAGCGCATGCCTCTTTTTCTTGCTGGTGCTGCCACTGGCAGAGCAACTTACATGCAGCTAAAACCAGATGCAGAAACCCGGCAGGCCACACCTTACTGTATAAATGCTTGAGCATTCTCTAGTACTAGGTCAGGGTTAAAGAGTAAAACCTTTGTCCGTACAATCAGGGAGTAACTATAGATTGTCTTTTATGTATTTTCAAAAATTAGTTTAAAGTGAAATTTAAAGTGAAATGTTTAAACTCACCTATACTTTCTTCTTTATGGTCTTATTCCCATATATGTTATTCTTCAGAACTGCAGAGAAATGGGAGACATGATAAAAATTCTAGACGGGGATTTCAGATCCCTTTACTTGCTCTGGTCCCGCTCTCCATATCCGTAGGTCTCCATTCTTTCCAGGATTGGAAATTGCACAGCATGAGGAGCCTGGGCTTGGATTTGTGTAACAAAAGAGAATAGAATAGAACATAGACTGTGGGGCTGGGGAGATAGCTCAGTAGAATGAGCGCTTGCTTGATAAGTTC